TTCATTAATATTTTACTTTAATTACTTTAACATCAGGTTCACACTCGACATCTGTGCAGGCTTTCCATTTTACAATGCACGTTTACCTTTGCACAAGGGTCTTCTGGCCAAGCGGACCTCATTGTAGAAGAACAAATAATGACCTCTATCTATCACAACACAAGTAATTAAATCTTGGTGGGGTCTTTGCTCCCTCTTAATGGAAATTATACCCTGAATAAGATAGCAGAAATAGGCTTATTCTAAAGCCTTAGAAATATGTCATGTCCCTCTTTCTGGTACACCGTGGGTCTTCATAGAATGCCCAGCATGACTCCTACAAAAGAGAGACAGAACACAGCAATGTCCATGTTTCTCCGTTGCTGTTCTCATTACATCAAGGATTAACAAGTTCGCAGGAGGTGTGAAACCATGGCAGCCATGGACACATTTGACTATGGAGCTTGTACTACTCATTTCCTTTTCCATTAACTCACAAAACTATCTTTTTAAATGTGATTAAATCTGCATTCAGAGACACCTACAGTGCTGGCCAGTGCCTCGCTGCAAGGACTTTGATGATGCTGGGAACCTTGAAAAGGGGAGTTTGGGGTAGTCTGCATGCTGTGGGCTGCTGGGGGACATTTACCCTCCACCAGGGGAACACATTGCTTGCTCTCAGATGGTGGGAAGAGCCAAAGTGTTGAAAAACAAGGGTCAGTACAAGGGTTAAATGAAAGTGAAATCGTGCTGACCCAGAAATGCAAATCGATGTGCCAGAGCTCTCCGGAGAACTTGTGGTGCCTGAACACTCTATTCTTTCTTCCGATTACCTAGTGTCCCGAGAGAGGCTTCGGCGATTTAGAGGAAAAGAGATGAAATGTGGAGGGAAGCAGCAGGCAGTAGCGGAATCTAATTTTATTTGAGAAGCATCTCCACAATTTATACTGGACTTCTAACAGGGACCCCCCCCCCAAAAAAGTAGTTTTGAAGTTTATTTCCCTTTCTTTTATATTGCTTTTACTACCTTTACTGGTCCAAATTCAAAGCTCAAAATTAGAGATGATTTTAAAACTGAATCTTCACAAATCATAAAAGTATGAGCCTGCAAGCTTAGAGATTTACAATTCTCATCTGCATTTTGTTCTACAGAGATGCAAAGTGTGCCTGGAGCTCCTGGCCGCTGAGAGAAAGCTTCCCAAAATGTAATTTCCAGGTAAAGAATGTCATGGTTCTCATCACTGATGGACTTATGAGGGAGAAAGGGAAGCAAGACAGAGGGAGGAAAGAGGTGGGGGAAGAAAGAGACATGGTAAATTAAAGAAGAAATAATGAGTGAGATTTAGAAGAAAAAGAACAGAGGGGCGCCTGGGTGGCTTAGTCGGTTAAGCGTCCGACTTTCGCTTACGTCATGATCTCACGGTTCGTGGGTTCGAGCCCCGCATCGGGCTCTGTGCTGACTGCCAGCTCAGAGCCTGAGCCTGTTTCAGTCTGTGACTCCCTCTCTCTCTGACCCTTCCCTGCTCACGCTGTCTCTCTCTCTCTCTCTCTCTCTCTCTCCTAGAAATAAATAAAACATTTAAAAAAATTAAAAAAAAAAAAAGAACAGAAACTAAAACCAAAGAGGGACTCAAAGTTGGGGGGAAACATCAAACAAAGTAAACTGAGGACAGACGGCAAAAAGCTTGCAAATGTGGGTCAAGAGCCAAATGGCTCAGGCTTGAACCACCATGCTCCATACCCAATTTCTGGGTGACTTTAGGCAAGTTACTTAACCTCCTAAAGACTTGCTAAGAGAGATTAATTGCAAGACTCTACACAAACATGTAGTACTGCTGAGGCAGGGTGAGGGTTCAATGACAAGCTCAATCAATAGCCCCTCCCAGGTCCAGAGGGGGGCATGAGCCTCCCAACCTCTACCTTCCTCTCTGTCTCCACACCTGAGGTCCTTGGATAATAATGGCCGTTTGGGGGCCTGGCGACACACCAAAGACAGGGGGTGCCGAACTTCTGAGTTCCAACCTGTTCTGTCACTGCCCGCTGTTAGACATTAATTCATGCAACAAATACTTAGCAAGGATTCACTACCTTCAGGTTCTGGGCTAGGGTCTAGTGAACAAAAACAGACATAGTCCCTGCCTTCATGCAGCTTCCAGGCTCATGGAGAGCCAGGTAGTAATAAAATAATTAAACAAGTACATAGAAAATTAAAACTATGAAAGAGAGGCACACACAGCCATAAAGTACATACAAGGCCCTTGAAGAAGACATTATTGAACTGAGCTCTGTCAGTAGAGTGGTGTCAGCCTAGACTATGAAAGGGAAGAAAGAACAACCTAGGCTGAGGGAATGGCTGGAATAGTAGAAGTCCAGAGAATGAGAAGGGACTGTAACCGCCATCTAGAGCCAAACCAGGCAGGGCACGGTGGGCCCGCTTAAGGACTTTGGTCTTTACCCTAAAAGTGAATAGAAAAATCAATGGAGGGTTTTTTGTTTGTTTGTTTTTTGTTTTTGTTTTTGTTTTTTTTTTTACAAATAGTTTATTGTCAAATTAGTTTCCACATAACACCCAGTGCTCATCCCACAAGTGCCCTCTCAATGGAGGGTTTTTAATCTAGAAAAATTATATATCATATATGAGTTTTGAGAAGACCACTCAAGCCTTGGTGTGGGAAAACAGATTTGGGGAGGGCAAGGTAGACTACTGAGGAGGCTCCTGAGCTGTCCCTGGAGAGCACATGGTGGCTAGGGCTGGAATGGAAGCTGTGCAGGGTCGGCTGTCTATGTGTGGGTGGACCTTCTATCAGAATGACTTGGAAGATGCACATAGAGGAGGGATTCTTTGCCAGAGGAACTGGGTGCTAAAATTTTCATTCACCAAGACTGGAGAATGCCAAGATTGTGGAAGGCTTGTTCCTTGGTCTAGTTTTAAATATGTTTTGCTTACAAGACCTTGAGGAAGACTTTAACCCTCTAGGTCTTGAAATCCTCACGCAGATTAAGTGAGATTAATGCCTGAATACCTGAAACAGAGTAGCTGCCCAGTAACCCGTAGCTGTGTTATTGGGATTTTAGATGAGATATACTGAAATGACTTGCCTCGGCCTTCCACAGAGGGCAAGATCATTCACTTTCCATCCAGATTTCACCTTTCTTGAGAGAGTATTTGATTCACAAATACAAGACCCTAAAGTAGAATGTCCCATTTGAGCACAAAGTAAATCCGGATTCTTGGATCACTCAGGGGAGAAATTCACATTTAATTTATGAGGAGATTCCTTGATCTGCCTTTAAAAAAATTACTATGAGAAGTCAAGTTCTGAGACTTGTATACATGAAACTTTCCCTTTTTCACTCCTTGCACAGGGAAACCTACATCTGATTGTCCAGTTAATGAACTTTTAAGAAAAACATATAAGGTCAATTTAACAAATATTTCTCAAGCACCTCCTCTATGTAACAAACTATGGAATACAAAGACAAATGAGACACATTCCTTGTTCTTAATGAGTTTGTGGTAGGAGTCATACATACATACTGAAATGCCACCAGGGAGTGTGCAATCACAGACAGTGGGGAGCAAAGCTCTCAAGTCTGGAAATAGCAGATTCTAAGTTTTAACCTAGCAACTGGAACCTAAGTGCTGCTTTCCAATGTTATGCCAGCCCCAGGGTTTTTGTGGTGAAGGGTCCTATTTAAGTTTGGGGACTGGAAAATCTGGATGGATACTGCCTCAAGCCCGACAGAACAGAAGATAAAGATACCCTCAGCTCCGGATATAATAAACACAGACAGCCAAAAATTATTATTAAATTGAATTTTGGGGCAACTGGAAAGGAAGACCTGAAGTGCTGAGTCTAAAGAAAAAGAGTATTTGCTAAAGAGAAAGATTTTCTATTAACATCAAATTAGAGAACTATTTGTACCGCTAGAGAGGTGATGGACATTATGTCACATGGCTGACACCCATGGTTTTGTCTCATGAAAGTAACTTGGAAAGAATCCACAAAACTCTGCCCAGCACCAAGTCTGCTAACTACCTTTCAGTGTCAGCAAAGGAACAGCAAACTCAAGGAGCCAGCCGACTGTACATGTTCTTGCACTTTGTAAAATTTCTTCTGAAATTTAAATTGAAACCAGTCCTTCACTAATGAGCTTTATTTTCGTCTATATAGCCATTTAAACATGCCATTTGTTTTCTGTCTGCCATGAGACTGGGAAACAGGACATTATTGAACACAGAGCAAAGCTAATTCTAGGAATTTCCAAAATCAAAGACTATCCTTAGAACATTTTTTACATTAGGGAAACTTGAGAGTAAGTTCTAGAGAGTCCACTTTCCAGATGGTCTTGTCCTCTGATAACTCAAATGATTAAGGCCTGAACATTCACTGAATTGCTTGAAATAAGAGTCTAGCCTTTAGCTAATAGGTTCTGTCAGTTAGTCTCCTGAGTTAATCCAAAGCAAGTTATTGGTTTATACTTCTCCTTCTAGCAGGCTGGTTGCCATTAAGCAGAAAAGTAATTCTATTAATGGAAAAATCAGTGTCCAACACATTCTCTAAGACCCGACTCAAATGTCACCTCCATTACTGTCTCCCTGGTCATTATACACGGCTTTTTTGGAGTCTTTGTCACATTGAGTGGAAACTGTTTCTACTGCCCATCTGCTCTTCTACCCTGTGAACTCCTCAAGGGCAAGGACAGGGGCATATGCGATTTTGTGACATGCTACCTGAAACATAGAAGGCACTGTCAAACACAGAGGAAAAGCACAGAAATACAATCAGAGAGACAAGCTGCCCAGAGCACTAACAAAATAGCACGGCTTCCACGGTCATACACAAAGAGAAAAGTGATGAAAGCCACTGGGGTTACAGTGACAAGTTAGGTAGGCTGCCCAAGGAGCTGAATGTCAACCAAGGACCTGAGCAGGAGAGCCTGTCCTTTCTCCCGGCAGTCTATCCCTTCTCTTTGAAGGTGATTTTCCTTTGCGAAATTTCCCCTTGGGTGTAGCTCACCGGTCAAAGGGATGGAGCAACTCCAGAAGTTGAGTGCGTTGTCTAAGGCAGGTCCCAGGCTTCTACCCAAGTGATATATATGTGGCTGGGGTTTGAGATCCTTGCCGTTTGTTTTTTGTTGTTGTTGTTGAGTTTTAACGCAGAGTGGAGGGGAAGGGATCTTAAAGGCAAAGGTGCCTGTGAAATGAATATTGCAGGCTCTGCGTGGGCCACATGTCCGAGGAATAAACCTAGTTGCACAATCCCCTCAAGATACACCATGAAGTTGCATCACCCCCATTGTGTAAGCCTTTATCAAAGCAGGAAGGGGGAGGGGGTTAAATTCTACAACCAAACAGGCGTTCAGATGAAAATTTTATAACTTTTGACTTTGATATTTTTCAAAGGAAATTTTTAACTTTGTTTTACATCCCTGGGGGTTGTTTTTAAAAATGTTATTTTTTTTTTTCTTTTAAGTTTCTTTATTTTGAAGGAGAGAGGGGGAAAGAGAGAGCATGAGTAAGGGAGGGGCAGAGAGACAGGAGAGAGAATTCCAAGCAGGCCCCACACTGTCAGCACAAAGCTCAATGTGGGGCTCAAACTCCCTAACTGTGAGGTCATGACCTGAGCCAAAATCCAGAGGCAGATGCTTAACCAACTGAGCCACTCAGATACCCCTAAAAACATGATTTTTAAAGCAATCTTTTAGATTAGATACAAACAAGGAACGCCAGAAATGTTATACAATGTTTTAATTTCTAACTTTAGTCTTCATATCGGTAAACTTAAATTCTTAATTCTGTGAGCAGACACTCTTGAAAAACTTTTCATTTTTTAAATCAGGAGTCACCAAATTTTTGAGCTCAAAGGGATCTCATCAGTTGCCTGATCTAATATTCACACCTGAACTCTGTCCTTGCTCTGCAAACGTAGGAAGAAGCAAGTCAAGAACCAACCTTTGTACCGACATAAATCCAATGAACAGGATTTGATTACATGTTACTGAGAGGTAGCATTTCCCAAAATATATTTCCAATAAAAATAGACTTTGGAGGTAACATTTTTAAAGGATTCTGTGGTCAAACAAGTTTGACAAGTACAGGGCTAGCCCAAGTTTAAAGAAGGTGTTTTTTTTCCCTTTGTTTTGATTTTAAACTCTCAGACTTCTCAGAACATTTAAGATACCAAAATAACCATCGAGAATATCCAAGAAGGAAGCGAAGTACGCAATGTAAAGGACCCAAAACTCCTTTTCCCCCCAAGAAATATCCATTGTGTCATAGGATACTAGTAGTGTTCACAGCTTAGGAAAAGTAGCTATAAAGTTTTCGGCTGCGGTCAACATCTGTACTTTGTAGTAGCTATTGGCTTCTATTCATAGAGGTAGAATATAAATTTGGCCTTGAGCTTCCTAGTAGCCAGTGCAGAAAGCATTAATCTCATGATCAATGATCACATAAAATGTTCATGACGTTCATCAGATGAAAACAAACGGTAGTTCCAGAAGTGCCAGCTATTCCCGGTGCTCAGAACTGAACAGAACGGCCACTCGGGTGTTTTCGTAAAGAGCTCAGGATGGCATCTTCTGCTACATCTCCTTTAGTGCACAAAATACAGTTTTATAGGCAATCTTATAACATCCTTCTATGGAGACCAAGGGCATATTGCCACAGGGTGGTTCAGGAGAAACAGCTTCACAAACAGTCATACCATGTTTTACATGATCGTAGTTCTTAATTATCGAACTTAACCCAAGACTCAAACCCCACTCTCCCATCGACCAGCTACGCTTGCCTCCAAGGGTGAATCATTTGCCTCTGCTGGGTTTGAACTAGATGGTCCCTCGGGTCCAGCTTCAAGGTTCGAGAGGTCTGTAAGGTGGATTTCTTGGCCTTTCACCAAAAAAGGCAAGCTTTCAGTCTCCTTGAAAGTATGCATTCATCCTTGGAGGCCTCTGTACCTTAAGCTGCTTACATTCATAGGGGATATGTAGAATGCATCACTAAAACTTCAAGCCCTGGTAATGTGTCCGAAATTTGGAAAAACCAAAACAAAAAGGGAAAAACTAAGAACAGAAGTGGACGAGTGCCAAAAATAACTTTAGCGGCTTGAGCAGTTTGCTTAAATCAACCTTCGGTTTCTTTATTAATGATGGCAGTAATTGTTATTTGCTCTAAATACTTTGCTCTAAATGAGCCCGTAGTTTCTTAGGAGAAGTAGTAGCAGCCATAGAAGCCTCACCAGCAAACACATTCTTGTCACTTCCAACCTACGAAGCCCCATAAGTGTTATACACGATGACTCTTAGAATGCTCGCAATAACTCTAAGAAGGAGATACCATTCCTATCCAGTTTCACAAATGACAAAACTGTGACTGAGGGGTTGAATAACGTGCCTCAAGTGCTGTGCGTAGTAGCAGCAGGTCCAGAATTCAAGCCGGCTCTGGATCTAAGGTTTAACCAACACCCTCAACTGCTTCTGGGACCCTGAGGTCAGAGACCGCTGACAGGCTGAGAGGTGGCCTCTGGCTACATCCTGCATAATAGAGCCCCTCCTCTCAAAATAAGACTTGGCTGGAGAAAAGCTATGGGGCTTTCTAAGGAAAGCAGCTCCATAAGAGTAGAGAGTAGTAAAGGTTTTAATGATCGATGATTCGTATAAGAGTAACAATTACTTGGAAAACAATCCTCCAGTTCTCTTGGAAAACTGAAGGCAGTTTCCCCTGAGACCATACACAGTCATTGACTTCTTGGGGAAAACTTGAACAAAGAGATTACCCTGCAAGTCCTGAGTTTGGATTATAAAGGGCTGAGAGGCAAACCCGCCTGGGCAACAATGGAAGGCCTTGGTTCTACTCTCAAATGTCCATCTTCATCATAGACCCCAGGTCCCCAGGCTGTCTTCCCCTCGGTTAACATGAAACGCTACAGTCTTTGTTCCCATATCTCCCCTTCCTCCTGGCCCTTCTCCCCTCCCCTCCCAGCACATACTTTCCTGTTTGGAGATGTAGGAGAGGAATGCATTTGAAGTAGTCTAGCACCGCTCTAACATATAATCACGTGTAATCACACCTCCAGGAACAACGTCTCATACTTCTAATTACCTTTCTTCAGAGGATCTCAAAGCACTTTGCAGACAGTAATTAATTGCCTCTTCTTAGGTATTTTCCTCCTAAGAGCTGAAAAGAGAAACACAACAATTATCCGTCTTGCCCTCTAAACTACCACCAACATTTCTTTTGAAATCACAGCACATGGATGCACGTGCGGGGAGCCGGGGGTGGGGCGTGGGGGTGGGGGGAGGGTCGGGGGAAGAGAGAAGGAGAGGGAGAGAGAGAGATTTTAATGGTGACAAAGCAGTGGAATTCACATCCTGTCCTGTGCTCACAGCAGGGGTGGAGCCAATGTCATCTGTATGCCATAAGTGTTAATAATGACGTAAAGTTTTCCTGTACATCATTAATGGAATGGAATCCATATTCATTTGTGAAGTTGCCTGCCTTCCTTTTATTCATTTATCTTCTCTAAGCTTCCCACATCCTGATTTTGCAAAACCACCCTTTTCTCATTTCCTAGCCCATTTTGTACTCTTAAAGGGCTTCCTTCATAAAGAACTGTGCATTTCCAAATTGGGTGAAATGGTTCTTAAAAGCTGGCTACATTCAAAATCAGCGAAATTTGTATGGCCCTTGACAGTGAACTGCAAACTTGTAGTAGCTGTCTCAATGAATATGGATGATCTAAGAGCCTAACTTTTTTTTTTTTAATGTTTATTTATTTTTGAGAGCAAGAGACAGAGCATGACCAGGGGAGGGGCAGAGATAGAGGGAGGCACAGAATATGAAGCAGACTCCAGGCTCTGAGCTGTCAGCACAGAGCCCGACTTAGGGCTTGAACTCAGACTGTGAGATTGTGACCTGAGTCGAAGTTAGACGCTTAACTGACTGAGCTACCCAGGCGCCCCTAAGAGGCTAACTTTTAGGCTAACTTTTACTTAGCTTGTCTTACCTCTTTGGTTTTCTCTCCTGCCTGTCAAAATAAGACCTGGGAGAAACCTAGGAGGCACTGCTCTCTCACTATTCACTATGGCTTCCTTCTAGGAACCCCACCTCAAAACCTGACAGAGCCCCGGTGGCTCAGTCTGGCCTAAGGGGCAGCTCCCGGCCATTTCCAGCTGGCCCCTGAGAGTTGTGCATCAACAGTCACCAAAGGGGACAGCTCCAGGCTGAAGAAGCCCACACACTGTGAACAGTAATTTCCAGCCTTTCCCGGCACAAAGAGGCCGCAGTTGCCTGCCCGTCTCAGAATGTGCCTACTAGCCGGGAGTTTCCTAGCTTTTTGGTGGAGGTTTGTCATGTGTCTCTGGGGCCTGAGGATTGGCCTCCTCAGACAAACAAACATTTGGTTAGTGTGAGGGGTAATCCAAATTATGATTAGAAACAGATTACCCGGCTCAAGATTTATGTTTGGCCAGGAACAAAACCACACACACAAATCCCTAATCGCTTTCCAGGAAGAGGCCTCTCTTCAACTGGGATTGGGAACAACAGCCTTGTCTTGAACTTTTAATCTTCTCACATATTTCTAGATCTCTCCTCAAGGCACCAGCCTAGAGGCAGCTTCCAGCCAACCCCAGAGTGTTTGAGCACATTCAGCTGCCGGTGCAGCCAGGGTGTGTGTGCAAAGCACGGTCATGAGCAACTGGAGGATCTAGAAGGGTAGGTTTCTGATTTTCCAATCACTGGGATTTGGAATACAACACGAAGTGAAATCATCTTCAGTACAGAATTAAAACTTTTTTTTAAAATGTTTTATTTATTTCTAGGAGAGAGAGAGAGAGAGAGCATGAACAGGGGAGGGTCAGAGAGAGAGGGAGTCACAGACCGAAACAGGCTCCAGGCTCTGAGCTGGCAGTCAGCACTAAGCCCGACGCGGGGCCGGAACCCACGAACCGCGAGATCATGACCTAAGCGAAAGTCGGACACTCAACCAACTAAGCCACCCAGGCACCCCCAGAATTAAAACTTTTTAAGAATATTTCATTTACCACCCTTAAGAGAAACTTGGCCTGAAATTTTACCTGCTATGAATATTTCTCTCTTTCTCTCTCTCTCTCTCTATGAATACCTCTCTATGAATACTCTGCTATGAATACCTCCATCTCTCTCTCTCTCTCTCTCTCTCTCTCTCTCTCTCTCTCACACACACACACACACACACACACAAAC